TACTGTCACTACAGATCACAAAGTCATCTGCAAACATCATAGTCTGCATCTATCAACCTGTCCATCACCACTGCAAACAAGAAGCTCAGAACTGATCCCTGATGTAATCCCACCTCCAGCTTGAACCCATCTGTCAATGCACCTCCCCACTGTCTCGCTAGCCTCATACATGTTCTCAGCCATGCTCATACTTCTCTGCTACTGCTGATTTCCTCATGAAGTACTACTATCATATGCTTTCTCTAGATCGACAAACACACAGTCCAGCTCCTTCTGACCTTTCTGTGCTTCTCTATCATCACTCTCAAAGCAAAGATAACATCCGTTGCGCTCTTTCTCACTATTAAGCTGCACTGCTGCTCACTGATCATCACCCCAGATCATACCTCTGTCTTTACTACACCACATCCTCTCATACTCCAAGAATGTTTTAAACAATCTAGTTGAAAAGTCCCTCTCTCCTAGACATCTGCACCATTTATTCCTGCCTGTGGCTATCTGTACAATTCCTCCGTGTAAAACAAATGTACACACTGGGCAACAGCACCTTAATATCAACCATATTTATATATTTATGTAATTTGTGTTATATGGTGGAATATTTATAATTAGAGTCATTTGTATCTATTAGTTATATTTTATAACTTTGTAATATACTGTATTATTTAAGATTAAATATTTAGTTATTGTTCTTACTGTCTTGGAGCAACTGTGACTGATTCCCTGAGGAAATTATGTAAAGTTTTCCGACTGATACCGCCACAGGTATGTCTTCTGGACCTCCTGCCTTTCCACTCTTCATCGCTGCCCACACTTCCTGATTTGTTAAAATTTCTCCATTTATTTTCCTCCCTCAGATGTTCTTCATTCAGCAGCTCCTCAAAGTACTGGTTTCCCAGCACACTCTTCACTTACCCTTAATCAGTCTACATCCTTTCCAGCTGAAAATCTCTGCCTAGCCAATTAATACAAGTCCTTTTCTTCTTCCGTAGTATCCACAGACATGCACACACACTTGTCTCTTCTAAAATAAGCTAATTCACTAGCAAACAGTTGAACAAAAAACAGAATCACAAACAACAATACATGCTTCAAATATTGCAATAACTTTATTAAGTGGTATGAATATTTTGTTTAAAAATGCTAAATTGCGGAAAGACCATACGTTCACAGTTTAATGAGTTCCCTTTGAATTGCCAACGGTAAGATTTAATTAGAAAAAAAAAAAAAAAAAAAGGGACAGGGTTTATCATAAACACTAGAAATATGTAATAGAGTATCAAAATCATGCTTAATAAAAACCATTAATTGCCCGTTCAGTCTAATAATGAATTATAAAATATAGATATTAATATTACAATTGTATTTGCAAAGATACAAAAAAACAAACAGAAAAAAAAA